TCCACCCACATATTTCTAGTATGGAATAAAATGATCTTGTACTAATCACGTGCTGCAAAAATGTTTGTAAAATGTTCAGGCAACTAGACTTAAAGGCAAATGTAATTTGTGTTGCAATAGGCATGCGCCCACCTTTTGAACTTGAACGGTATTTGGGCAGAACATCAATTAAAGTTTACTTTTTTCAATCTCGACATATTGTGCGCTTCTTTTTAGAGAAGACTGAACCATTCACACCAGTTGTCCACCTAGAGGAATTACCATGGTCCTTACCACAGTTATACACATTGTCCTTGATTTAAGAGTGCCATGTGGCCAACTATGGGTACTTGATATTTAAAGTGTGCTTGTTGCCAGGTCAAGTGAGTGGTATGTATGCATGTATAGTTGTACAAAAGAAGAGGTGTATATGTACACACACCCCCTACTCAGGAGTTGAATCTTAAAAATGCATTCAAGTACCTTAACTATTAACAAAAATGTATCTTCTTTGTGTATTCTCTGATTTCCTGCTCCTTCTGGAGGGTGGCTACTTTTGTTCCCCATGGTCCCTGTGTGTGTTGTAAAGTAGCCACCGCTCCAAGCTCGCTGCCATGACACACTACAATCTCACGTTTAGTTTACTCATTTGTATTGAGATGGTAGTTCTCTTCAGAGAGCAACGTTGTGCGATCATAGGCTTTCGGAGTGCGCATGGTTATATTTACAAGAACGTTTTTAAAGATAATGTCAGTGTAATTGGTGCCCCGAGTGACTTGTGGGAAAGTCTGTATTTAGGGTGGACCTCTCCCATTTCCTCTTTTTAAACCTTCTATATAATATAATAAGTCGGTGTACTCATACCATATTACAACACGTTAGGATGTTCTTATTATAATCTGTTTATTTTATTTATTTTAGTTCCGCCGCAGCAGATATGGATGATTTGGACTCGCCTTTTAGCAAACTAAAGATATTCACGGAAGACAATTTGTCTTTGGCCCCCTCAAGTACAGAGTCTTTATTTGTAGAAGGTAATGTTTTAAAAAGGTTTCTCTTGTTCTGTCAAAGGTTTGCACCCATTTAATTAATCAACACTGTCCGAGCTGTGTCATACACTATACTGGCCCTGACAGCTGTGATCATTCATTCATAAAAGCTCAATCGGTGCTGCAGGGCTCTGATCTATCTGCCGGACTTTGTAGTTGCAAGCAGTCCACGCAGAGGGATCACAGTCCTTTTATGAATGAATGCTTAGGGCTGGCAAGGCATTGTGATAGAGCTGCCCGTTGCTCTGTTTACTAGCAGACGGCAGCTCAATCACACAGCCCTGTAACATTCAATGTTAATTCATAATAGTAAATGTACAATCAGCTGAGGGAGTGGCAGGGCTTTTGTGCTGGCAGTACCTTCCCCTACAAGAGTGCCCATATTTTTGGCTTCACACTGGGATGGAGCTTTTTTTTTTTGTGAGACTTCTTTAAGGCTTAAACAGGTCCCAAAAGCTTGTGTCTTTATTAACGTTAAGAGGAAATCCAGAATTCTCAAAAGTTCACCTTTGCAGTGGGGCTACCCATGACTGATCGGCCTGTGGCTGTTCTGTCACGGTGTCCCCTCTAGACTATCAGTGCCCCCATTTCTGTAGGAGGCGGTCTGTGGTGGGAGTTGGTACCCTGGAATCAGCCTGGACCGATAAGATATGACCCCCTCTGCCCTTTTGGGTGACTGTATGGGAGTAGGCTCTGGGTACCGCCACCCTTCCTCCATGTGCTGGGTGCTAGGCTAGCATCAGGTGTTCCCTCTCATGCTGGGTTTCCTTGTGTTTTGGGCTGCAGCTGTTTGATTACCCCCCTGATATTGTGGCATGTGACCATGTCTGTTGCTGAGAGAGGCTGGGTGTCCCAGTGTAGCGGGCTATGGGGGGTTGGGTGCGGCCTCTGGCTGCATTGCCTGTGTGGGGGCTACTATTGATTCTCTAGGGGAGTCTGTTTGCATCTCATGTTATATGTTGGCGCCCTCTTCAGGTTCTTCCCCGGGGGTTTTTGGGGTCCTTTGTCTCTATGGACGCACTCACTTCTGTTTTGGAAGATTTTGTTTCACGTGAACAGGCGTTAGCCCACAGGCAGGGTAAAAAGCGCCTCCCCCATCACTCTGAGTCTTCTGGGAGGAAGGACAGCGTCCCTGCAGCCTCTGCTATGTTGGGCCCATTTCTGGTCCATTTGGCAGTGAAGATGAGGCTTCGTCTTTTTCATCAGAAAAGAAATTGGTCTTTTTCACTGGAGAAGAAAAGCTCTTTTGTAGCGGTCTGGAAGGTGAAGAGGGGTCTCCTGTTTATGTGGAACTAGCCGATGAACTAGTCCACGATCTTCCATATGTCTAACGCATCGCTGGATACTTGACCCTCACTGTCTAAAGTGTCAGTGTCTGCGGTTGTCCTTCACAGTCTTCTGGTCTGCTGGCCAGACTTCTAACAAAATGCTGACGGACCTGCCCTGTGAGGGCGACCGCTTGTTTGGGGCAACGCTGGATGGTATGAAAAATCTTACTGGAGGTAAGATAATAATACTTCTTACTGCAGGTTAATAAGGGTAGGAAGCCTCGGCGTAAGAGGTTGTTTGTTTTTTTTTATTCTTCTACTCACAAATGCCTTTTCCGTCCCCAAGCCGTCTCTGATAAGGGCCAAAAATCTGGCAAATCATCCCCCTGTGGGTCGAAGAGATCTTGGCAGCACAAGTCCTCCAAGTCCACTGAGAAGTCTCCCCTCTGCGTGAGGGTCTGTCCCACATCAGTGTGGGGGGGATGCCTTTGCTTGTTTGGGATCCTTGATTGGCTCACATTTCAGACATTTGTCTTCAGGAGCTAATTTTTTGGGATTTCAAAATCTAATCCCCCCCCCCTTAAAGCTGGTTCTTCCACTCCAATCATTGCTGTCCCCAGTGTGTCTGTGCCAACTCTGGTTGGCTGTGCAGGGTCTGCTTCAACTGGGGATGGGTGTTTCTGTTGGAAAAATTCAAGGGCTTCTATTCAAATATTTTCACTGTTCCCAAGCAGGATGGAGTTCCACCGATTTCTGGATCTTAAGGCGCTAAATGCCTTCATCAGAGTTCGGAAATTTAAAATAGAGCCCACCCACTCAATGGTGGCTTCTCTCCACCCAGGGGTATTTTCTTGAGTTGATTGACATAAAGCCTGCTTATCTGCATGTTCCTATTATTTATCCTGTTTTTTGCGGTAGGGGAAGAACATTTCCAGTTTGTACCCCTTCCGTGCGGCCCCTCTGGTTTTTATCAAAGTTCTGGCCCCAGTTTTTGCCTTACTTAAGACGATGGATGATCTTGATTGTCCGGACAACCTCCTTCTCCAAAAGAAGTCTTGCTTTGGACCTGGACGCCAATCTATCGATTACAATGTACACTCTGGAGGCGTTCGGCTGGTTCTTGAACATCAAGAAATCTTTTCAATTTGGAGTCAGGCCAAGGTGTTTTTTCCTCCGGAAAAGTGTCTGAGGCTCTGAACCCATCTTCGCCTGTTGTGCTTATGCAATCGGGCGTTGGGTCACACTTGCATCAAGGTCCTTAGTCTGATGGTTTTCTTGTTCGAGGCAGACCCCTATGCAAACACCACACTCTGATTCTGCAGCAGGAAATCCTCTCTCGATGAAATAAGTCTCCCTTGTCACTGGACAGGCAGATTTGGGTGAGTCGGTTGGTCAAAGCCTCTCTGGTGGTGGCTCTGCTCCCCGATGCTGTTGCATAGGAGGTCGTTTCTCCCGGTGCACTGGAAGTTTGTGACGACGGACACCAGCCTCAGCAGCTGGTGTGGGGTGACTGGACAGTGGTCAGCACAAAGCCGCTGGACCAGGAAAAGTCCAGGTTACCGACCAATGTCCTGGAAAGACGAGAGGATCAGGCTTTACCTGCTTTGTTGGACGGATCTTCTGCGCGGGTATCCAGTCAGGGTTCAGTCAGACAATGGCATAGCGGTGGCATATGGGGGG